AAAAAACCCCGCTGAGATACCACCACCACCAGCCATTGGTCTATAATCAAACATTTTCACTTGCATCCTTCCAAATTTGTTGAAGACCCAACCACTTCCATTTTGAATAAATGTGTCAATGCTGTTATTCAAAGTTTCTCTGATTTGTGTTACTTGATCATCAATGTCATTTGGTGCATGTCTAAGGAGCCTGTAAACTTCTGTTCTAAATGTAATTGGTGGATCTGTGATTGTATCTTCTAACATTTTTTTGAACTCAACATCTAAGGATACATAGTATTTCACTCCTTGATAATAATTTTGGAGTGCTTCTGTGACATTGTCTATGATGTTTCTTGTAACATCTTGCATATTGTCTATATTTTCAATGTTTTTTATTGCATATCCTAGATTGTTTTGATCCACTGCTCCTGTTCTTGCATTTGACCTGACACCTCCGACAATTGTGTGATGCATTGTCCCCATATGATTCTGCAGATTTTGCACTCTGTCGAAGAACTCTAAGCAAATCCTGCATTGGTATTTGCCCTTCTTTGGGTTATCTTCAACACTACCCATTCCATCAGTTTGATAATTTAAACTTCTTTTCATCTCTACTCTTTTTTGATGCTTGCTCTTTGTAGTTCACAACCAGACTGATTTTTGCTGCTTGTGTGTCTACTTATATATCTTAGACATTCGAATATCACGTCAGCAGTGATGTTAAAATCAACCAATTAGAATGCAGTTTTAGTTTTGGATTTCTGCTATTAGCCAATCAGAATCCGTTTTATTTTTGGATGTTCGAATGTGACATCAACAATTCGATAATTGCGTCAACAATTCGAAATATCACATCAATTATTCGAAATACTGCGTCAGCAGTGATGTTAAAATCAACCAATTAGAATGCAGTTTTAGTTTTGGAATTCTGCTATTAACCAATCAGAATCCGTTTTATTTTTGGATCACCTGTTATATTTGCTGAGAAAAAAATGCGTCCTTCGTGAAATTTGATAACTGCGAAAAGGGACCTGTTGCTTGTGTTTCAGTCTTTTAAAGCGGTGTATACGTGCTCGAGTTCTAATATTGGAAACCAATCAGATTCCTCCATTTTTAACATTTCTTGTGGGGCATATCATATTCACAAACGCTACATATTTCGAATTTCGAATTATGAATTCCAATATTCAACCAATCAGACTATTCAATAATTTACATTTTCATGCGAAGCCCGCCAATTCAAACAAACCAATCAGATTCCTCCATTATTAACATTTCTTGTGGGGCACATCATATTCACAAACGCTACATATTTCGAAATTCGAATTATGAATTCCAATATTTAACCAATCAGACTATTCAATAATTTACATTTTCATGCGAAGCCCGCCAATTCAAACAAACCAATCAGATTCCTCCATTATTAACATTTTTTGTGGGGCACATCATATTCACAAACGCTACATATTTCGAAATTCGAATTATGAATTCCAATATTTAACCAATCAGACTATTCAATAATTTACATTTTCATGCGAAGCCCGCCAATTCAAACAAACCAATCAGATTCCTCCATTTTTAACATTTCTTGTGGGGCACATCATATTCACAAACGCTACATATTTCGAATTTCGAATTATGAATTCCAATATTCAACCAATCAGACTATCCAATAATTTACATTTTCACGCGAAGCCCGCCAATTCAAACAAACCAATCAGATTCCTCCATTATTAACATTTCTTGTGGGGCATATCATATTCACAAACGCTACATATTTCGAATTTCGAATTATGAATTCCAATATTTAACCAATCAGACTATTCAATAATTTACATTTTCATGCGAAGCCCGCCAATTCAAACAAACCAATCAGATTCCTCCATTATTAACATTTCTTGTGGGGCATATCATATTCACAAACGCTACATATTTCGAATTTCGAATTATGAATTCCAATATTTAACCAATCAGACTATTCAATAATTTACATTTTCACGCGAAGCCCGCCAATTCAAACAAACCAATCAGATTCCTCCATTATTAACATTTCTTGTGGGGCATAATCATATTCCAAACGCTACATATTCCGATTGCGTAATTATGAATTCAATATTTAACCACATCAGACTATTCAATATTACATTTTCATGCGAAGCCCGCGCAATTCAACAAACCTAATCAGATTCCCTCCATTATAACATTTCTTGTGGGGCATATCAATTTCACAAAAGACGCTACATATTTCGAATTTCGAATTATGAATTCCAATATTTTATCCAATCAGACTATTCAATAATTTACTTTCCGCGAAGCCCGCAATTCAATACAAACAATCAGATTCCTCCATCTATTAACATTTCTTGTGGGGCACATGCATATTCCAACGCTACATATTTCGAATTTCGAATTATGATCCAATATTTAACCAATCAGACTATTCAATATTTACATTTTCATGCGAAAAGGCCCGCAATTCAACAAAACCAATCAGATCCTCCATTATTAACATTTGTTCGTGGGGACATGATATTCAAAACGCTACATATTTCGAATTTCGAATTATGAATTCCAATATTCAACCAATCAGACTATTCAATAATTTACATTTTCATGCGAAGCCCGCTAATTCAAACAAACCAATCAGATTCCTCCATTATTAACATTTCTTGTGGGGCACATCATATTCACAAACGCTACATATTTCGAATTTCGAATTATGAATTCCAATATTCAACCAATCAGACTATTCAATAATTTACATTTTCATGCGAAGCCCGCCAATTCAAACAAACCAATCAGATCCGCCTATTATTCATATAGACTTGGTACATATAGGTAATCAAATTCCCCGATGCCAAATCTGGCATCGGCATCATCATCATAGGACCTACTGCGCATGCGCAAAACACGACATCTTTTTCAAATCTCGAAAAATATCTCATCATCCTACACGACACCCTCCTCCGCAGTGACATCCTCATCCGCAGTCTCCTTCGCAGGAACCTCATACGCAGGCTTACCATCCTGCTACGCAGCAACATCATCCGCAGTCTGCCTCGCAGCAACTTCCTTCGCAGCGCCAACTGCGCTAGTATGCCCACCACCTTACCTACTCCTACAGTTCCACTGTACCCTGCAATGCTAAGTCTGTATCCATTTGCTTCGTCGTCATCTTCAAATGTGATGTATTCAGCAAATTTGGGACATTCGAACGCTTTATATCGACACGAAGTATAGCATGTTTTCCCGGAGCTGCCAAGCCATGTATTTGGTCAAGACCGAGCCAGAAATTGCCATCCAGGTTTCCAAAACCATGTTTATGCTCATTCTAGTCAAGGTTGAAATTGACACTGTCATCAACCCGTCTCTGAAAAACGGTCCAACCCCTCTCCATTGCTTTCCACATCACATCTCACTGCAAACAAACCGATTTCAGGACACGAGATTTGATAAACTTTGCTTTCTACTTGATTTTCTTTCAGGATATCTGGAGAATTGCTTTTTATATCTAAGATAGAAAATTTATCGAAATTAGATCACCATGTTTCACAAGCCACAGTATCAGGGGCGGTGAGAGTTTCGGGAAAGGGGGATTTGCCCCCCCCCAAATGCTGCCAAACAGGACTCAAGCTAAAGAGGACATCTACCTCTCCAAAAGTCTCTGTAAGTTAATCGGCCACATGCTCTGCGAATCTGAACAGCTAAGCATTAATAAATCTGAACACCTCAATGTAGCTTCATTTCATGGAAAATCGAGTTTTACGTTTATTCTACATTATACTTACGGAAGCAAAATGTGTGTCCGAGCAAAAATCTTAAAGTACTTTGACTTAAATAGTACATCTGATGACCTCTATTTGTTACAGCATATCCCTCACACTGGTACAGCATATCCCTCACACAAAGTTATAAATTTTGAGGGATGGAAGCACTGTCACCATCATTTCTTAGTTCTCTTTCTGTGAAGCATGCCCTAACATTTCATATCGATGTTATAAAACTTGGCCACAAAGAAGCTAGCAACTCTCTGCATCTTACTCAACTTTACAAAAGAAGCATTGATGCCATTTACGTTTGGTGTGCTCGTCAATATCCACACTTGGTAGTTCCTGTGGGAAGCAAGCTGAAAAACCTCCTTTTGGCAGAATGAAGTACATTGTTTTGTATCCTAACCCAGAATTGGTCTGTTTGTGCCTAATTATTGTCGATTATTCTAATTCTAATGAAACACTGACTTCGATCATAATAGATAGAATGTCAATTATGCTTCGATGCAAGAAATTTTATTTTTTCCACTAAAACTTTCTATCTTGTGAATCGATCTGTTAACATTGGTGGCAAGGGTGAGACCAAGATATAGCCGTGTACGTAAAATGTTTACTTGACACCAGGGGAACCAAAACAGAGTAGAAAGCCTGGGAGTGCCCCTGGGGTCTCAAGTAAAATTTGATAGAAATAGGGGCCATTGAAGCTACAAAAAATGTGGTCAATAGAAAGGGATGTATATTTGAAGTCCCAAAGGGGGCAAAAACCACTTGTTGCACCATTGCTTTACACGTCTGCTGAACAGAGCTTAAGAAAATCAATACAGCAAAATTGTGAAAATTTCGAAGTCGATGCAAGAATTTGAACCTGATAAATAAATCTTCAAGGTACGGCTTAAGTTAATTTAATCAGGTAAGGTCGAGTGCTAAAAAGTACTGAGAAAGTTCACACCATTGGCTCGCATATTATGGTACACTAGTGCACCTTCAGATAAAGAATCTTTCTCTCTTAAATTTCGTGATGTCATTGACTATTTTGTCATCCATGAAATAACTCCTATATCTTCCTTTAACTTTTTCTTAGAAGAGAGCTTTTTTCAAAATTGTTAAGTCCTCCTGCCCTGACCTGTTGCCACTTCCCGGTTTCTACATAACAGCTTTTTTACTCCTCTTATGCCATATGGTGCTGACAAACTGGGAGCCCGTATGTGGATAGGAAAAAGGTGCAATTGAGGGGGAATAGAAGATGGGGGCTGATGTCTTCTAAAGTGCAGGTTTTGCGAAGTATTTTCTTCAACATTGCTGCTTTGACATCTCTGAAAAGCCAACCAATTCCTGCGCCTCTGACTAACTTGGTGTGATAAATCAAGAACTCTGGGTATAAAGATTTCTGTCTGGGTATAAGGTATTTAAATCTAAGGTGAGTCTTCTGAATCTGTTAAAAGAGTTCCCTATAATGCGCGATATACACCTAAATAAACCCTGAAGGACATCGTGCGCCGTTGGGAGCAGAACTCATTTCTGTCTGCAGCCTTGGGGAATAAAGAACATCACCTATTTGATATTCCCAAAGGTAGTTGGAGGCAGTCTTGGTAGGAATGATACCCTTGGGACAATGCCTTGTCATGTCAATTTCAGTAAAACATCTAGATGACTATTGGATAGGTTAAGAAGCTGCAAAAAAACAAAGCACTTCTGCTAAAGCAATTGCACGACGTATGAAAAAGAACCATAGGAAGTGCAGCCTCTTCATTGTTCCTTCGCACACGAGTTCACTGGACATCAATGCTAGAGATCCAACAACAGGTTTGGCAGTACGGCAGGCTCAACAGAATGACAAAAGAATACGTACAGATGATTCATACAAAAGCAATGCATTTGTACAGAGGTGAGAGTGTTTACAGAATAAATACAACGCATATATATTTATACTTATATAATAATGTATATCTTGCGCAAAAATAATTACATCTTTGGAATGATATGGCAAGTGTATGGTGATGATAAAATAACGCAGGATATAATCTCCTTTATTTTCATGGTTATTGATGATACAAAAATTAAAATATTATCTACTCCATGCAATGTTCTGACTTATAATTTTCACCGTCAAACAGATTCCGGTCATACGGTCGAAGTCCAACGTGTTAGGCCAATTAGATTAAAACAATCAGCCTAAACCCAGTCTGGGTTTGAGGAAGGTTGAAGACTTTTTTGACTCTGCAAGTTCCTCTTTAAAATACAGAGTTCATAACGATTTTGGCAGAATAAGCTGCTGCTGGGTGTTTGAGAGAAATCGTCAAGCGATTATTCAGAAGGATTTTCATGGGGCTATCTTACGATTGCAGAGGGGGGTAGGAGAAGGGTTGGTAGGAGAAGGGTTGGTAGGAGAGGGGTGGGGAGGAGAAGGGTTGGTAGGAGAGGGGTGGGGAGGAGAAGGGTTGGTAGGAGAGGGGTGGGAGAAGGTGTGGTCAGGAGAGAAGTGGTTGGGGGAGGGGTAGGTTGGAGAAGGGTGGGTAAGAGACGGGTTAGGAGTTAATGGTAGGGTAACAGAAGGGTAGGTTTGAAATGGATGGCAAGAAGAGGGCTGGGTAGAAGAAGGGTGGGTAGAGGAATAGGGGATTTGAGAGGTCGATTCCTTTCACTAATGCTGGTTTACATGGCCTTTCTATATATGGGGAATACCGTGGGGTGAAACATAACCAAACAGGTTTTCGGTTTAAAAAGATATTCTGAAATATTTTGAAAATTTCAGGGACTTTCGAAAAACATTGAAAATACAATAAACAAAAATTTAACCCAACGTACTGATAAAACTTAATCCACAAACATAACAAAGTTATAATTTAAAATTCGTATATACTGATTTATCATATATGTTATATATTACGGCGTTTAAACAAATTTAAAAATCTTGCTTTTCTACTTCGCATTCTCAAAAAGAATATGATATAATTATAATAACCCATTCACCTAAAACTGTAAACTGTTCGCCAAATAAAATTCTTCTTTAAATATTCAATAGCCTAGATGGAACTTAAATTTCTGTATACATTTCTCGCAAATGACGAATCAACTTAAAATTTTCGCGCATTTTTATACAGTTGTTAATTAAGCAAGTTAAAAATCTTTCATTGAATTTTCAGCTGGAGCTTGGAAAACAAAAGATTGGCTACTCATTCTGCCTGCGTGTGCACTCTCGTAACTCGATAAGGCTGTGAATTTGACGACGACGTCAATTCTAAGGTAACCATTGCAGTAGCTTTTAATGTCGTCACATTATTTTCTGACTCCGGGATGAAACCAGGTAGGCCATCGTTATCAATATAACAGTCATCATGATCACCATAATAATCCGGACTCTCTACTCGTTTTGCCGAGCCCGGTACCGTGATTGGCGTGCCCGGTCTCGATCTCTTAGAGTTCGTACTGGCAGACGACGAAGGGCCCCTGCTACTACTGTCCGGGGTAGATACCTCCGCTACCGGTGTTAGCTGTTCCCTACATTTTCTTAACCGGTGGTCGTATACACAGTTTTTGTGTTGGTACTTGCACCTACGGGATGCTCCGAATGGATTGCGGTATCTCTGCTTGCTTTTTCCTGTACGATTATTTGACCGCCCTGCAGACGGACTGTTAGTGTTCTTGTGCCAGCCTCTCGAGGTAGCCTGGGTACCATGCTGCTTGCTCTTGGCAGACAAAAACACAGGCTGCCCACCTAAAGTTGAAAGCTCGATATCACCGCTTCCTCTAGATCGCGATATTGACGATTCTCTGCCGTTTGCTTCTAAATCGTCGTTAAATCTTGACGGCTGCACAGTGCGATGTGTTACCTGTAATGACGAAACAGTGCGACCATGAAGTATTTGAGCTTTCTGCAAGGATTCAACACAGACTTGTATAGCAGTGTTGCATGGCAGTTATTGGAAAGGGGGAGAGTGGAGAATACTGTTAACATTAATTGAAGGGAAATATTGGAGGGCAGGAAAAACAGTTTCAAAAAAATCTAGAACAATTTGGAAGAAAATTTGTGAAAAAATCTACACTGGCATCTGGAATTATGATTGTGGTTAAATAATAAGAGAAGCTAGGTGAAAATAGACAGGAAAGGACTAGAAAAAATGATGTCTAAAGAAATAGCATGGAAAACAATCAAAATCTTTTCATTTAAGGCTACATTGCAACTTGGATTGTGTTTCACATTGATTTGTATTTAGAATTACTTTTGTCGATATGCCAATCTTTACTTCTCACCAGAGAGGGTACGAGTATCAAACAAGGCTCTCAGAATCCGTTCTCCACAGAGTTGCATAACATTTAAATTCTCTACCAATATTCTAAAACATTTCAAACTTTATATTTATATACTATATACATGAACTCTATGAGGTGTATTGTAAAAATACCCTACCTCACAGCAAGGGCCAACAAAGGACAGCAAAACTGGTAACAGCACCAAACCATTTGCAAGGCCGATTACTATCATTGCCAAGATGAGGTGAAAAAAATACCTGAAAAATCATTTATCAAATATTTCAGAAAAAAATAAGTACTCTATATTGAAGACTCTGTAGAGATAATGAAGCAAAATAACTGGCACAATTGTTAATCTGAACAATCAACCAGAGGATATTTCGGCTGGGACTGAAATTTTCGGTTTAATGATAAACCTACACAGGCTAATAATGCAGGTCTAGAGTATGAACAACCAAAGATAACACTGGCCCAATCCCACTACGAAAGCGTGAAAACAGACCAAAGGATTATGACTAAACATTGTTTGGAAAAGCTAACGCACGCTTCCTCAGAGTTTACGCACATCTTCCAGTAATGAAGGAATACTTTGAGTAACACAAACCCGTGTGGGATTGGAGGAATTTCATAATATTACAAAAGTGGGATCTTTTTTAATGATTTAGTGTTTTGAATCGTAAACATGAAGAATATGATACATTTGCTTGCAATTTGAGTGCACGCAAAGTGTTACTTGATGTTTATTTGCGCTAAAAAGTTTTTTCGTTGTAATAGAAAGGCAATCAAAATTTGACAAACCTCACAACAAACTCGAATTCTGATCCAGCAAGGACTATGACACCGATAAGCGTAGACACAGCTCCATCGAAAACAGGAGCAAACATTTTATTTAATGTTTTTTGTGTTCTCTCGTTTCTGTCGCCTTTGGAGTTAAGAAAGGCCTACAGGAAAAGAATATTTATTGTGAACACGATTTACTGTGAAGACAGTATTTTGTTTTGAATAAAAAACAGAAACGCTTTGATATTCAAGCTGGGACATCCAAGGATATTTTTTGTCTTTAGGGAGAGAAAAAATAGGATAAAATGCAAAATTAAAATCACTCTTGAATTCGCAAAAAGAGTTTTCCTGGTACTGGCTTGACCTAGTCAAACAGAATCTTGAGCCGATTATTACGACCCGTTACATTTACAGTCATATTGTTTTATTTTAAACAATAAAGCTAACAACTAAGATCGGGAGTTTATACCTAACGTTGACTTCGATACTTTGCTATGTTATGATATATAAAATATTATAGAAAAATTTTAGCAGCCTTTATAATGTATGTAATTAATATCACATCTGTAAATGTAAAAGTAAACTTGACTTACTAAGCAAATATGTACTGTAAACTCTACACCAACCCCAACTGACATTATCAAGGTTATGGCTGGAACAGCACTTAGTTTGAGTGACAGCAGGCCCATGACTCCGTACAACTCAAATGTGTTCATTACCAAAACTGCAACCTGTGATACGGAAAAATACATCAGTACTCGCACTTAAAGCGATAATCTTAAGGTGGTGAGACAAATCATCTTAGTTTTTAAGAGCCGCGTACCTCCAGGACAATAGCCAGTTATATTAAATCAGAATGATTACTTGCTTCTTCCAGCATTAGCATTTGCAAACAATTTAGGCAACAAATATCAAGCCTGATCCACAATAGTCATTCTACATGCGTTAACATCTCAAAGTAATCCACACAGCTCCCTTGAAAATTGAGCTATCTGGCAGAGATTCTATTTAATGCTTGAATAATTTGGTAAATTAGGATGAGCCTCCAGGAGGTCTTTATCCCTATGCTCCCTAAAACATTTCTAAAAATCTCCCCTGTTCCCAATAATTGATTTTAAATTTTCCTTAAAAACATCACCAGATTTTGTCAAAAAGCTCCCTTTGACCCTGTCGTGAGAAATACAACGTACCCCATAGTCCCTTTTAAAAATACGACAGTTACCCTTGTTCCCCAAAAAACTCTGGGAGGGCCCCGTAGTAAAGTGGTATGTAGACGATCCATGTTAGCAGATCACACTCAAGGTTTTATCAGATCATCCTCAATTGTCAGATATACTGTATGTACCTTAATAGGCCTTGGGCGTACAGTACGCGATGAATCGCGACTTTAATTAATAGTTATAGGCCTATGTCACTAAAAATTCATAAACATGTAGCATACATCTGCAATTTTTGACTTACTACATCAGCTCAACGATTTTCAATATAAGTGTACGTACCAATAGAAGTGCCGCCCATAGGTTCATCAACGCGATCGCTAGGACTATCAGTGTTGACGCAAGTACAATGCCAACAGCCAACCAGAGATAACCATGCAGATAGATGTATTGTTCCCAGTATACAAACGGCATCCCAGTTGGGAAGTTTGGGAGGCCTTTATCTGCAAACTCTTGGCAGTGTTTTCGGACGACCTGGAATGATAAACGTGCAGTTTTAGATCTAGCAGCTCCTGATGCAGTGAAAACTCCTAATAATGAAAATTTCAAAGTAAGAGACGTCGAAATTGGACAAACGCTTCTATTCAGTGATCAAAATCTTCTATCCTTGACAATTACCTTCTACTTTTAATAAATACCCTAAAATATTAAGAAATACAACGACTTTCGTGTTCCAGCAAAGCTATTTCAAAGAAACTGAGAATAAAGTGAAAAGTAATCGATCATAGAATAAACCACAGAGTGTATCTTCTTACTGGTCTCTGGAATTATACGCACAGCCTCTTATTTACAAGTGCCTCGAACATCTCAAATTGATCTGCTAACATTGGTTAAAATAAGTTTTGAGACAAAAAAAATGTGTTCACATATGCACCAATTTGCCGGTCAGATGCCATACCTTTATTATTCTGAAGAAATCTTCAGTTGTTCTGATATCATTCAAGTAAAATGGCATCAAAGTTAATTTCAGTGGATTTGCCTTCGGTACAAAGAGGCCTATGGATGAAAATATTGCACATGATCACATGATCAATAAAAATTTCTTTGTCATCAATATAATATATAAATGGTTATTATCGTTTATATCAAATATCCTTAATCGACAGATGCAAGAATGACCTAAACCATTTATCAATCAACTATTGGCCGATCAACTATTTGCCAATCAACTATTGGCCAATTAACAAGCGTGATGCCACTCACATGAAAACTGATTGGCCAATAATTTCTTATTTCAAAAGAATCACTAATGAATCAACATCTGACGCTGTTTTTATACCGAAAGGCCGCCGGTTGACACATGTTTACAAAACAAATTGAAAAATTGGCCAATAATTGATGACAGATGGCTTAAGCCACGTTAGTATCTGATTGGTCTCTTTAAGCCTCCTTTTCAAGAGAAAGAGATCCAGAATTCCTAAGAATGTATACATAATAAAGGTCAATGCTAAGAAAATAACTTAGCGTTTGAGATTACGGAGTCTATATAAAGAGACTACAAATGTTTAAAGTTAAAAGCCACAGTTAAGTAATATAAGCTGTTGGGGATGTTCTATTCCGGTAAATATGCTATTATCCTGGGGATGTGATTTCTCCGGTAACATTGTAGGCTTACTTTTGCCCTGCTATCTGAAATGCAAAAAAGAAGTTGTTCGCCCAATAGCTCGCGACACTAAGTTAACAACCCTTTTATAAGATATTTGATATTTCGGTATCTATACATCAGAAGAACCTAAAGTTGCTCATGGTTGAAATTTATAAAACAAGGAATCACTTGAATCCCTCGTTTATGATGGAAATTTTTGAGGAAAAGGCAATGCCGTATCAACTAAGAAGCTCGAGCAATTTAAACCTACCAAAAGTGAGAACCACATGCTATGGTACAGACACCGTAAGGTTTATGGGTCAAAGAATATGGGCAAAATTACCTATAGAAGTGAAAACTTTAGTCACTTTGACTGTTTTTAAAAAACAACTTAAGAAAACAAAATGCAAACATTGCAACTGTAGGATTTGCAAAACTTTTATATATGGTTTAGGATTTTTGTAATTCTTATGTATTTCCTTTGTATACATCTTTTGTAAATAGTTGGCCTTAATTAGCTTTTATTTTTAGCTATTTCGAACAGCCAACTTTAAATCAAAGTATTAATAATAATAATAATAATAATAATAATGAGGCATACGACTATATTCACTTACTCGAAGATGACAGAGTAGTTTGTCTATAAGATCTGTACCCATCTGGCGGGGTGGGCTTCAGGTGGCCCTAGAATAAAAGATAGCAAATACTTGTTTAAGACTGTCTATTTGAAGAGCCGTTCGTGTAACATATTAATTCGTAATATACACAATTCGCTTTATTACTCAAAGGTAACTTAAGAGCACGGGCTTAAATGAGAGCTGTAGGGCAGTGCTCATGGCGAGAAAGCTGGCAGATTAAAATGTTACAGAACAAATAAAGGCCTCCAACTTAAAAACCAATGACAAATTAATTAAATTGGTTTAGATCTTCTGCCGGCGTTGCATACAAAATTCATAGAACTCTTTGTGGGGCCAGAGTATGGATATGAGCCAAACCAACCACAGGTCCTAGTAAAACACCTAAATACAGTGGATTCAATTTTTGGGAACCCTGGTTTGTGAAGACGCCTGTGGCTGCTCTGCTGCACACCACAACAGAATACTGAGCAATTGTAATCGATACATTGACAAAGAATTTGGCAAACTTGACCCAATAATGCATGTTTATGAAGCATCGATAGAGAACCACGTTCATTGGACCACCAGTAATAAACTACGTGGTCTGCGTTGATGGTGCACCTCATAGGATAACGGGATCAATGGTAGAGACATTGCTATTAATATCTTGCCCCTTGGATATTTCTCAGTGACCCGTACCATATTTCACTCTCAATGACCTAGTAATTACACTTCGATCTATTTATTGGCTACTGTAGTTAAATCATTTCCGTAGGTCTCCATATTCAAGGGTCAAGTAAGGAAACCAGTGTGAAAAGGCATACAGTGGCTTGGTGTTCCTGCCCTATATGTAAAATCCTCTTAAAATGTTCTTAATGTGTGAGAGCTTTTCATTCTTTATCACTGTTTAATGCTAGCAATTCATATCTCGTGAGAATGTTATCTATATTTAAATCAAGTGCCAAGGAACTAGAGTGAGTGAGTTTGAAACCTAATTTTCTATTGAAACCATAGTATATCATTTGGGTGTTAAACGCCAATACGCAATCATTCTGATAGTCCTTTGAAACTTCGACGATTTCCCTGGCCATTATTCTAACGGTGAGTTTGTGAATCGTCTCTTCAAAAATTCATAAAAAAATTTCCAGGGCAATGGACATACATGAGACATCCAATCTACCATGCTGTCTTCGTTAAACCAAGAAGTCAGATAATGATAAAAACATTTCGGGTAGATTATTCCATTTGCATTGACCATCCTACCATGCGGTATCTGAAAATAAGTACGATATATGAGAAAACCTCGAAAAATAAAAAATGTATTTCATTAAATTACACTGTTTAACACGCACGAGAAAGTCTGATTGTTCGAGAAAGTCAAAACTATATTACTAATTCAAGCATCAGCCCGAAACAGTAGTTACGTGGAGTTTGTATTAAATGTATTTAACGAATACCAGAAACGAATTCATGCTTGGATAATGAGGATTACTGCTTCTCTTGTCGGTCATTAATTGCACCATGCCGTATAGGCAGAACTGTACATGTTCTTGATGTAAAGAACAGGACTGTTCTAAGTTGCTACTACGGGTTTCACGATTAGACACGATTGTGACAGCGACAGATGACAGTGAAAGATGACAGATAAAGAAAAGAAGGAAACAGCAAGTTGGTTAACTTCAGCGAAATAAATCACTGTTTGATTTTAGTGGTAATGCTTGAATTGATTGTCGGGCCATTCATGAAAAAGAATGTGTTCATTCGTTTTATCTTCACTTAAGCCTGTACAGAAAGCTCAGATACATATCAGTTTGGACTGCAAAACGGCTAAATTTACAGGGCCTGTCATATATACACCACAAAATGGCACCAACTCCATTTGAAACAAATGTCGATAAATGCTTTAGCTTTGTAACCCAATTGAGCCCATTCGACTGATTCTAAAAATAATCATTTGGAAATGTGATGTTAGAGAGGGTTAACTTCCAAAGATCTATTTCAGAACTATCCATTCCTTAAAACAAGGTTCCCGAAGGATATCTAAAGGGGTGCTGTATGCTATAGGTAGGTACTACAATAACGCAAGCACTCACCCGTGACAAATTCCTTTGATTGGCTGAATTGCATGAGAGCCCGATCAATTTGTACCCAAGTATAGCCTCCCGTGAAGCATTGACCGCCCATCCATCTCGATTCAGACGATTCTCTTTCCATTCAGCATCGAAGGCATTTTGTAACCCTGTTTGGGAATAGAAAAGATATGAACATTGAGAGCTGTCATTATTAAGTTGATAACGCTGGGGTATTATATCATACACAGCTAGACTAAAATAGCACGGAAAAGCTGAAACAATGGAAAAACAATTACTGGGATAGGAGTTTTAGAGGTTCCCATCGGACCAGCAGGGACTGGAAATTCTTTTATAAGAAAACCGAGGTAAGAATTTGCCAAAAATAAGAACAATTTAAGAACATGCTATTTTCAGATGAAAATAAGTCGAAAGTACTTAATTATATAAATGTGTTTTCATTGTGTTGGTTATCAAATCATAGTCGTAATCATTTCAACAAATCGTAAATCCTCGAATTAGCCCCCTGGGGGCTTATTTATTAATGATATTTTTTGGATGGGGGCTTTTTCGAACGGGGGTTTATATAAGGGGGACTTATAAAATTATTGTAGACACTTAGATTATATTATTAAAAGACCTCGTTTATTTTAGCAGAAATTTCTTTATGAGCATTTAATTACTTTTTACCAAAAGTATGAGTTTTGAGGTAATTCCAATAAAACGCCAAAGTAAACCTCAAATTGATCAAAATGGCAAAAACCGCAAATCATGCACAACCGACATTTTTACTAGGTACAACTAAGTTACTAAGTTTTTTTAGCACAAGTGAGACAAGTCTGCATTGCAACACGTTGAAGTACAGGGCATGATGGGAAATGACCTGAAATGCGTGTCTAGCTCCCTGCCCTAGGGTTTTTGAGTGGTTAACTGCAAAATGCACCCTCTCGCTGTTACCACATCATATAAACACTGGTTTGCTTTTATCGTTGTTTTTCATGTTTTTGAAAAAATGAAGTAGTCAAAAATCGCTTTTTTCCTTTTTATTAGAGATTTGCTGAATATGAGAATAACAGCGACATGGTTAGTTTCGGTCAAATTTCGCTATGCTTATTGTGACATCATAAAGCTCGGCTTACACCCAGGGAACGAGAGGAATCTTCCATCCTCAAATGTTTATGCCAGGTCTCAACAAAGGGTCTTTTTGGTACAACGTTTAAAAATGGTGTGCCTTGTACTGAAATCGTTGACCAACAATGTAGTCCTGTCTTATCTGATGACATGCTGGCAAATCCAAGCACATTGTTAGCCACACTGTAATAATGGAGTTTTAGAAAGACCTTAGCCCATGATTTACTCTTTGTTAATCTTGGATTAAGAAATGTAGACGACAGAATCCGTTGATGAACATTTGTCATTAGAATTATCTTATAAAATTAATCCGTGAAGATTTCCAGTTTGCTACTGAAATGGCGAACAGTCCTCGTGGTCTCCAATAGGCGTCTACTGTCCACTATAGTAGCCAACAAGTGGCAAATCCTGTCACTTACCTACCGAGGTGTCTAAGGCGATAGCATTAACCTTGCCTCCACCTCCTTTTGATCCTTCTCCTCCTCTAATGTTAATGCACAGGAAAATCAAGGATATGACTGGCCTTGTTGCAAAACCTGTAACTGTCTATTTTAGGTGCTGTGTTCGTAAAATTTTCAGTATTGAGACGAAGCTATGTTCCTTGTCGGGGATTTACTTCAGTGATTGGCTGCTTAAGTACAATTTAGGGGTTCACAGTTCGCCAGTGGTAAGTATAGGTAAGTCTTAGGCCAGGACGCCCAGCTCTAATTAGGGAGTCGCCCTGCTTGGTAGAACTACCTTAAGTCCTGATAAATATTATGTTCGGATGGAACTAATACACCTTATGAAAGAGCGGTAACAAAAGATTAGTTTGGACGTTTTCGCGGTTTCCGGGAGAGCTGAAACTTTAAACCAGAGACATGACCAGAAACATATATGTTTGATTTGTATGAATGACCGTAGCTTTGGAAAAACGTCTTGGAAATCAAAGGCCTTTTATTCTGACGTCGCATTTCTCGGTGTACAGATTGCAGGATCGTGGGTCCATAGTATTGAGCAGGGGACGTTTTACTGCCAACTGCCCATTCATAAAGAGGTGGAGAGAGCGGAAGGAAATATAGAACTAACTCCAGCCTACTGCGGGACCGCAAGGATTCTTCTGCATTGTGAAGCTTTGGACCTGACGCCAACTCGGCTCACTGTCAACCGCACTGGAGTATTGGTTATACAAACTAAACCAAGCAATATGAAAACTAATTTTGAGAAGGGCTGGCACGGCTTTCACTCGCTGTGATTGTATTGGAAAACAGGCGTATTCGTAGGTATAAAGGACTACGGTCTGCCAATCAAAATCGCTTCTCGGTATTCAACATTCATACAACCCAGTCTGCATACTATAGCAGATGCACGCACGAGGTCAGTGTAGTGCCGCACGCCAGAATTTGAAATTGCACACCGAATTTACTGTAGAACTATTATGAAAGCTTTCTTTTTGCACGTCATATGGTTAATAAAAGCAGGTGTGCACGCGGTAAAGGCGCTTGACGTGTATGTGCACGCAAGAGTTCTCATCGAGAACTGTCATACTCTCCATGCTGGCATAAAACTATATTATATCGGGTATGTCGGGAGACCTCCATCAATAGACATCCATTTAAAGATAACTCCTTCTTACAGGGTCACCTTGTAACAACTGACAAACAATTTAGTCCGAAAATCTCTTCTTACTGAGAAAAGTATTGAGACACCTCATTCGATTATAAGACAACTCCGGGGACACTAGAATCAGTTTTAAAAGGTTCTTTTCTTATTCAATCTGTGTATCCAGTACTGCTTCCAAGCATGCAGTGATAAAATTTAGGGTGTAGTCAGAGGTCCTTTTTGATCTAGAAACCAAGACCTTTTGATTTCATGTTGGTGGCAACAGAGTTTCGTGGCATTCTCAGTTACATATAACAACAAGAACCTTTAAACTGTCATACAAATTTCCAAATTAAACTATCGCAAACCCGCAGACTACTTGGCGAATAACGTCATCCAGGTGGGACAAGAGGTTTTTTGGTTCATTCTATGAATTACTGCTAAATGATACAATAGAAGCCCAATGGGAGGGGGTAAGGGAATTTATACATAAAAGGAAGGCATTGTTTAAAATCTTACCTATCAACCAGTCCCTGAAGTGCATCAACCAAAACTTCGGTAAATTTCCGTTTGAATCTCTCACCACTTCATCAATCTGTATGGAGAAAGTGTAGTGCCAAATTACAACAAGAAACTTCGTACTTTAACTAGTAACATGGATTCTAAAAGTTAATTAGAGTCGATTCCAATCTCATTCAGCAGAGCTGCTCAGATAATCATTAGTTTTGAAACTTTCAGGTATCAATTGATGGACCTCCTGGAAAATTGGACATAACATTTTAGAATCAGTAACTAACTTTATCGACGTATTCAGGGAAAAAACTTAAAGGAGCGAGCAAGTAATGCATATGAATGTCTTGTAGCATGAAAAATGTAAGAATGTTCAAAGCCGTGCCAGAAGAGCGATATAGGGAGGGGCGAATGACAGTATAGGAGGCGAATCTCCAAAAAAATGTTTTGCAGACAACCCCATCCACGATGCTTTTAGAATACTTGTTTTAGACTGACATCACAATGCTATCCAATATTATCGCACAAATGAGCATGATATTATGAATATTTATCCCACTACCTGATTTTGAGTAGAGCTTAGTATAGACATGGGAGGTTTTCGGCGGGCAGGGGATACCAAAGTAGCTGATAGAAAAGGTTACATACTTTGGCAAATGAACGATGGAAACTATACAGCATTTGCTGATTATTTGCATAGTCAAAACTCTCTTTCGTGACGATGTGCATCTGGTAAAACGAGAAGTATTGGAACCTTGCAGTTACGAAGGAATACTCGACGTTGTGACGTGGGATCATTTCCGCAACACTTAGTCCGTCTTTTACTTGAAATGCTCCGTAGGCGCAAACACCAAGAAATATCGCCAGCATGAATATGACAAATATCTGCAATAAACAAATAGATGAAACACTGTTTGAAAACATTGGAAAGGCTGCTTCTGAAAGCTTCAGTACCTATGTATACATCAACGCTTATATCAGGCAACGCGGAGCGCTGAGAATAGCCGCGGAGGGCATAAAACCGAATAAAAAGCGGCTTGGCTGATGATTATTTCTTAACTTTCGTTTTTGGCAAAAACTGGGGGCCATAGCCCCCAGCTCCCTCCTGCTGTGCCGGCACTGCCTTTATAATGTCTCTTTGAATATAGGGATATCTTTTAGCAGATACGGAAAAAACATCAAGGATTGCACAATTCTTTACTGAGCTTTGTGTGAAATTCATCCCGGTTTTCTTCGTCTCATAAATATCCGAAGAACGGACTGGTCCATAGGAAGGCAGTATGCAATTTCATTAAAAAAACCGACCGTTAATTTCACCACTGTCTGATAAAATGATAACACAGCAAATATATAAGGCAGCGATAGGAACTGTCTTCCAAGGACAAACGTGTTGCAAAAAGTAAAAAAATTAACTGAAAGTTGACGAGGGCGACCTTTCAAAGATCCAAATCAATCACCAAATAGATGAGACAAATAATCCAAAAAGGGAAAAGGGTTGCTATCCTAGAGAACCTCTTGCGAATAACATCACCCTGCATTCTACAAAGCCCAGTATTGAGAAACATTGGCAAGAATGCGAAGGAATAAAGACCACCATGGAGGAACCCATACTGACCTTGGTTGTCATATGCTGCAGAAATGGGCCAAAATAATTCTCAGCAAAATACGACAGCGATATGTGTTGAACGACGTTCTGCAAAGTAAATCGTTTTTCAACTGTATCTTGCCGTGATGCTTCTGTTTGTGATTCCTGTTCTGATTGTCGGTTCTGGGAGTGCCTTCCATCACGTGTACTTCGATGTGCACCTCTATTACCCCTGCCTCTTCCCTGTTGTTGTTGCTGCTGCTGTCCAGCGACAAGAGCATTCAATGAAGCGCCAGCATATATTGATGAAGCCCCAGGCAGTCCTTCCAGATTCAGAAAGGCAATATCTTGTAGAATGTTACTACTCCGAATAGTAGGCATCGGGGGAGTGCGGACTTCTCTGCAAATAAGAAAGATATGCATAGAAAGGAGTCTCTCGTGACAACTAAAGCGTCTGGAAAAAACAAATCAGCGATCTTTGAGGAAACCAACTGTTATTAGCGAAAGGCAGAATGTAGTCCTCATTTAAGCAAATACCTCCCAGAACAGCAAAACAGATCATATTTCTCTGACTGGACCCGCTTCACATCGAATCCAAGAGTTGACGTAAAAAGAAACATAATTGTAACCCAATTGACTGCAACAATCAGTGAGGCCTGCAAAAAAAAATCTTGTCTTAATAAGGTCACACAGGATAAGTTTCACTTAAGTTATTGACAACACAGATAAAGTGGTGACAACTTTTATATTGAGTTAAGTTTATCATATATTGCTCAGTCTTTTAGATTCCTAGAGGGGAGATTCCCTAGTTCTAAGCGCAAAAAAGAAGATTAAGTGCTTTGTGGTGATCAAATTTAGGTAGTGGTTTTTAATACGGGAAATTGCAAAGAAGGTGCAATCAATAAAAAGGATAAACTATGAGGTGAGGGAGTTATGAGGGCGAAGGGCCTTTGATATGCTGGGTGTTGAGAAACAAGCCATAATAAAAACGTTGATGATTTATATATGCCAGGGAATGATCAAGTAAATAGTCTATTTGCATACATACCTGCCTGGAAAAAGCTTGCAGGGCTGGAACCGGTATTAGTGAGGCCATAAAAAAGGCGCAGACATTCGTGAATGACGTCAGAGTAACGCTTAGACCACAGTTCCTCAGTGTTTCCCCAACAATTTCATGCTCCTCAAACTCTTTTGCTTCGCAGATTGAAACGTATGTGCGAGCGACTAGAAACATATCATCCACACCCAAGCCAAGGGCAAGGAATGGCAAAACCTATAAAAAGACAAAGAAAAACCTGAAGATACCATCAGTGCAAAACATTAGGACGTGTATCAGCGAATGAAGCATTATGCTGCATCATTACAAAAGATTTATGATCAGTATTCTATCTCCCCATGTACCCTGTCTTACATTGACTAACAGTGAAGGAGACTCCGAATATTTAAACATCAAAAACACTCCAAAACCAATCAAAAGAAATATGCGTATACAAAAAGTAGCTGAAAATGACACAAAGTTAGATAACTATTAATAAACACCTCCCAACAACGGACTCCCCCAAAAAGCGGACAAACAATTTCATAACAAGATTACTTCTTTGTGATCAAAGTATTTGATAGTAACTTTCGGACAACGGACACTTCCGGACAACGGACAGCTCCGGACAACGGACAATTACTACGTGGTTTAATTGTAGATGTTTGACAAACCTGAGTCGATGCAGCATTGAAGCTAACTTTTAAAAGCGATGACAACCCCATCGCTGCTGCAACAGAAGATGACACTAGGATAACACCAACCACACCAACAGCTCCATACGAATACACTGCATTTGACCATCGTTTTAATGTGATGAAAGCATACGCCAGCTATTGAGAAGAAATTGACAATCATCAACAGCACGTGGGTTTGTTACTTTATCAAAACGACATTGCATAAATAATTTACAATGGGACAAAAGTTTAAACGTAATGCGCAAGTCATTCAGTATGAAAAGATCGAGATGCGTCGAAATGGCAATGGCGATATATTTCGTAATTGCGAAAGTAACAAAAACGTTAATTACAGATTGCAACATGAAATGAAAGCAATACATATACATAGTGATAATAGCAATAAACTTCTTGGTAGTGCAAAATTTTAAAATGGGGTTGAAAAAGATCGGAAATATATAGACTGAGTTTTGGATCGAATAGGCCAATCAGAACGTGAGCATATGACTGTTAAAGTTGCCCAATCCGTGCAACTTGCACCACTGGAGTAAAATTGCAAAAACGAACTTCTGCTTACACAACAGCAGCTTTTATTTCAATGTAAAAAGATCCTATAACTGCTAGGCGGAGCAACGACTGGGATCTACAGATTATCCGACGCATGACACCATGATAGTCTTTTGCACAAAACGGGTTTTAAACTAAATGTTTGGCGGATTGAGGAATCCAATGTTTTAGTTGTTGTTTAAGGCATCCAAGAACAAAAATTCTCAAGGGAACAGATTTTTGGCAAGTTGGAACGTCTTGCAAAGTATGGTTGATTGGCCAGAAAAGGATGGACACTTTGGGCACTGACAGGTAAAATGCTGAAAACTGGACCAAAATTCCCATAAGAAGGAAAATCAACTATCAAATCAAGCAGCAATAACGCATAATCACAAATACGATCAAATTACAACTGAATGCTTTAAAAACACTAGTTCTTACCATAACAAGGTAGCCAGTGATAATCTTCGTGAGGTCTGGCTGTGAGAACTTTTTGATAAGATCGTAAAATGACGTTGGTGAGTAGGCCATGATGTCTGTGGTCAAGGACGAGTTTTTGAAGCCATTTTTATTGACAAGCTGTAACAGAATATATGAGATGAAGACATATATGAGAAATGTTTGGTCACAAGTAATGGAAGGCGTCTAGTGTCAAGTGGTCTCACAAATGCACACGAGTGATGATAAAATGTATCGAGCGTGGTTTGGAGTGAAAACAGATCGAGCATGTGCAATTTAAACGATAAGAAGTTAAAATGAGAATTCTTTATAGCATCATCTATTTCTTCAGAGTTGTGGGAAGCCTCTGATATATTGATTAACTAGGCAAGGGTGAACAAAAGGCCCTATAAAGCGGTTTTATAACTACAGAAAGCATTTGCTTGGAAAAGCTCTAGAAAACAGGGAATACTTTCAGAGGAGCAAATAATTCATAAAATTTAAAAGAAGGTTGATAATATATGCTGATGAATCAAATGCTTGGGAATCTGAAGAGGAAAAGGTGAACAATTGATAGACTACCCTAGTGAACTCTCTTTGCCAGGCTTTAATGACTTGATCTGCTTTTTCAACAGACCATTGTGGAATGGACATTCCTTTGTCGGTTATTTGAGAAGAATACAAATCGTTTGCACTTTCCAGCATCAAAACTGACTGCAAGCCTTTGCCACTGCAAATAAATCAAGGCAGTTATTATAAAGGCAGTTATTACTATAAGTAATAAACTTCAAGATACACCTTCAACGGTCACTTAACAATCGAGAAGGTGACAGGAGGGGCGAAAACATATCACACAGCTTAATACTTTATCCTTTATCGTACAGCTTAATACCGTTACATTGAATAATGAATGACTCATTTGCCTGGCTCCTTTTTGGACCAATCAGCAATGGCTAAAACACTCACGAAGTTGAAAAGTCCAAAGAAGGCAGACGAACTATTTCTGCCTATGCAAGGTGGGACTCTTTGTCTTGATGTAGATAGATTCCATAACACTTAACTGGTAAGACAATCTGACCTTGCTTGCCCAATGAAAAGCCATGTTTCTTTGCGTATTTTAAAACGGTGAAAAGCTGCAGTTCTGAAGATTTTTAATGTTTAGAAGCATTAAAACATTAAGAGCTACCAAGAAGCTTTCTAAATGTTCGAGTGTCAATATTGAGTTTCATATCAAATGTTTTTTTCTACAAAGAATGTAAGTACCTAGAGTCTCTTTACTGGCTCCTATTGCTTTTGTGAACAAGAGACTGTAAAATCCTATCTATTATTTTAGATATATTTGAAAAGGGTGAGACATAATCATGGAGCAATGCTTGTTTCTTGGTGAAGTAAATTGTAGTTTAATCGGTGCTTTTTCAATTACGTTGTTACATCCTTCACTTCTATGGTGGGTTTGCAAAGAATTGGAATACTTCATCACTTAATAATGATTTCCAAACCTACCTCCTCAAAATCTGAGATTTGTTCATCTTACGTCCACCTACAAGCAACTCTTCTGGCCAGTTCATCAGCTTGGTTGCATAACCACGACAACCACCAGTCAAAATCTCTCCAATGTCAGGAGGCTGGAAACAAAATTGATCATTGTATTAATAAATATCCTAATTGAGCTCATGTTGACAATGCTTACTTTTCTATATCATCGTGCAATGCCCCCCCTCCCATCCCAATATCAAACAGTAAGTTATAGCAATGTTATCTAGAGAAGAGTTACCTGTCGTGATCTGTAATTAACGGAAGTTGCTGGGCATTTGGGGCTTTGTGGATCAAGACAAGGCTTCTTCAGATATCCTGACTCAATTCCAGTCTGCAAAATAGATAAGTGGAGTGTGAAATTGATGTCATAATAAATCACTTTTTTGCTAAGGTTAGCTGTTGGATGTCAGCAATGGCGGTTTTAGTTTTTGCATTTCAAGACAGCTATTCATTTGCTATGATTTGTCTGGGAATGCAGCAACTGTTCTGTCTCAAACACAGTAAAAGGTCTGCCAAAATTACGGGTCCTTCGATTTTGCATCTCAAGGTATAACATCTTACCATAGCAAGGGGCAATAATCTCACAGAGAAACGTGATTTCTAGCGGAGTGGAAATTACCCCTAGATTCAAGACAACCCTGCCAGGCCAGACGTGGATTATCAACTGTTCGTTTCCAGACAACGTGCTTGCAATAAACAGTCAAACCCCTCAGGTAACAGTTTCTTTTCAGGTTACCAAGAGGCAAAAGCGAGTCATCTTTCTTATTTGCATTTCAAAATCCACGATGATTAGGTGGTTACTGACGACCTGGACTCGTCCTAGTGGCAGAAACGCGTTGACCATTGTTGTGCCAGAGAGGACTTATCTTGAACCAAACCTTTGTTGTGTCAGAGAGGACTTATTTTGAACCAGACCTTTGTTGTGTCAGAGAGGACTCATTTTGAACCAAACCTTTTCCATGCAAGACACATTCTTCTTAGGATTAGTGTAAAGGTAAATTCTCTTCATTTTAGGAACAAAATAATTTTTGGCGAAGTTGAATGTTCTGATTCACTAAATACCATTTTTGCATGACATTTCTAGAGTGGCACGGTGATGTTGCCACTATATCACAATTTAGCATGACATTAGCTAATAAATCAGTTCCGTGTTGTAAACACATTAGAAAACTTTCAAAAACACATTTTCTCGTAATTATTCTGTTTTCATAATCTATTCTTTTGTTGCTTTTATTCTTTTGTGCAAATCGAGCCGCGATGGTCTAAACATTTGTCTCCTATTAAAAAAAACCTTATATAAACTTATAGAATCAGGCTGAGGAGCAATTCACTCCATAAAAATTTCGTACATCTTTGGTGGAAATCCTACTGTTTTATCTGAAATTCTTTGGAAATCCTTTTATTTCGGGGAAATCTCATAACAGTGAATTGCCCCTCGCATCAGGCTGAGATTTGACCAAAAAACGCGAACAACAAAAAACACTTGTTTTCGCTGAAATTCAACAAAATTCAAAAAAATAAAATACCAGCAAAAATTGAAAGAATAGCAAAAAGGAGGCGATAAGAAAAAAGTATTAATTACTTTATCATGCATAGATTGTGTCTGGACACGACAATACACAGAAAATTCCATTGGGAGATAAGAAACAAAATAAGAAACGTCAGGCTGAAATTGGAGCCAAGTGTTCTCATTAAAAAGCGCGTTGTGTAATAGGAACTAACAATGAATCAGCCATGGTCCTCCGTCATGATATAGACAGCTCTGTTCTCAGGACCCCGCCTTTGGAACATACAAGAAATTCATGCTTTCAGTCCTTGCTACCAGTGACTTTTTTTAGCATGAAGACATTATCGTAAACGCTTACGGCAAAATTGCTAGTGAATCCTATTCTTAGGCTGAATTGAAGTTCCAAAAAGGAATTTAAAAACGTCTTTTTTTCGCCATAGCTTTCTAAACTATGATTTATGAGCTGCTAACCTGGAATTTCTTCACATTTTAACAGGGCTACAGTTACAGGGGGTTCCGGATAGAGCAGCAAGTGGCTTGATTTTACTTTAAAGTTTTCAGCTAGTCGTGGCATTAAGACGCGATATAAGATTTATGCAGGGTTGATTCATTTTACTAAATGCCACAAAGTATATAACGGGTATTCTGCTTCTTCCTTGATCTGCATGCCTTGCCTGCCCAAGCTTTATTTACATTGTTCTATGCACGTGACTGACAGTTCTACCTGGATAAGTTTAGATATCATCCACGCTAACTGATTTTGTAGATATCATCCCCAAAACGCTGACCCTGTATCTGGTTTAAAACACTGCGATAGTGAGAGTTGAAAATAATGCAAACATGAAGGAATGATGTCATATCACACAGGTAATGTGATACTACACCATACAAGCCACTAATCCAAGCATTATGGGATCACGGAAAACACTGTTGATGACAACCATAAAATTTTCGCAAAAACAAGTACTATTAATTTACGAAAAACCATAAAGTCCAGACAATTGGTAATCAATTCTCCGTACAATTTCCGTGAATTCCAAAATCCTTTCCTAGAAAACAAATAAGGCAGGATCTGGGCGTAGTCAAACAATTTCTTTTGCTCTCGTTTGCCTTCTTCGCGGTCTATGAACGTTTAGCCGCCATAGTTTCTGATGGTACGAACAAAAGGTCCTTTGCTTTCGTTTCAACAAGGCCTAAGATATACATCGTTTCCTGATAAAGCAAAATATGCTACGTTCTAAAATAGATTAACCTTTAGGTTTTCATTCAGACAGACCACCCGAGAGACTCAAAACCAAGAAACGAGGTCATTGGCTTTTATGATCCTGTCAACACTACCCGCTGTCACAATGTTTCTTTCCTTGGTCGCCAATTTTTCTCTTATGTTAAAATTTTTTGTCGATATCTCTACGGTCTATCCTATTTCGCTGACAAACACACGTTAGAATTAGAACTGCTTTGTTAGAATTTTGTTTTCCTCAAAAAAATTAACAAAAACATGCTAATCTCAAATAACAAACTCAACTTAAAAAGAATTAAAGAAATATCTAAAATTTGCGCCAAAAGCATTTGCTAATAGATCTTGGAGAGTCAGATACAAATGGCCTTAAAAGTGGTTAATAACGATCCCTGGAGCTTGATCTATCCAGAGGTGCGAGAATTGGGAATGGAAACTGCAGAACTATATTATCATTATTATCAATATTGTTTTTTGTGAATCCCTGTGGGTTGACGAAAAATAAAAACGCTCACGATAATGAAGTAATCAACGATCTAAAAGTTAGAGGACCCTGCCCTAAATGGTAGAATGTTTAAGCGAGAGAAAAAATTGTATATACAGTTATAAAATGGATAATATTAACATAAAATGAAAATCATCTCATATTCGGCATTTGGAATCAATAAAAAGGTTACACAGATGATTAAATTAATGTTTCATCTGCAGTGAAAGAACGTATCTTTGTATACACACCTTTGCAAATAATTTTTTCAACTCGACCTCTGGTATACCAGACACATTTGCTCGAACAAGTTCATCTATAATACCATATGGATCCAATGTTTCCCAAGTCTCTTTGCGGTCGATACCAAGGACACTAGGAGAATGAATATAAAATCATAGGAATAATGAATGAATGAATGAATGAATAAATGAATAAATGAATAAATGAATGAATGAATGAATGAATAAAATCAGTTAAATGTAGACACGAAATCTTCAAGCCTTGCCGAAAAGCTGTTTAATGCATTGAGACTATCATTAGTTGTTGGGAAGGCATTTGGTCCAGACCTTTCCAAAGAAAGCGTTCGGGGAAACCTTATCAATGACAAGTTGTCCCTAGTACCGATACTATCAAGACGTCATTCACTGGAGTCATCTGTCTATAGTGTCAGGGGATATTCATTTATTCAGTAAAATAACCATCTGAAATTTTACACCTTACTCTAGAACTTACAGATTTGAATTCATAAACCTGATTAATAGAACAGAAAAGAATGGGTGAAAGTCTCTTTCCAAACAACTTTTTTCTTGCATTAGAAAATGAAGTTGGCGATTTTGAATGAAGAGGCATTCCATTTGTAAGGCTAAACGGACTACAAAAATTCAAATAAGATTGAAGTAGTTTTTTAATAATATACTCACGGTACAATTGCTGGCTCTAAAGGTCCAGCAATCTGGCTGCCTTCGTAAAAACAATCTAATGGAGTCATTAGCAAACACGGTGTCATGTGCTCCAACATCTGTCAAATAATTCAACTTGTTGAATCAAATGTGAAAGATAATCCTCTACAACACTTGCATCCAATGATACATCCATAAAGGGACATAAATGCGGAGAGGGTGATTAGAAAATGATAGGGTCGATCTGATGCTGTGTGCACCGTTTAAGGCTGGTATTAACGAAATCGTTAAGACGTAATATATAAGACATAAGACATGAGACATAGGACACTACTCTGTCATCTTTAAAAAAAGATACAAAGGGCGAAAGGTTTCCATTTCAAATTTGTCCACACTAAATTACTGTCCCTATTAAATTTGAACTATATAGAGTTGTTTTCTCCCTTCACAAGTGTGCACATAGAAAAAATTAAATTGAAGCATTAAGACATAAGACATAAGACACAGGACAGTCTACTCTGTCCTCTCCTGATACAGTGAAAAAACGGACAATAACCATTTTGGATGAGAGCTTTCTATTGAGTGACGGACTCCCTGCTAAATTTGAAACTATATGTATTTCTGCATCAGGGGCTCGTGATTATAGATTATCAATGTTTTCATGAAAGTTTGACAAAATTACATACCTTTACTAGGTGATTGCTTCCATCTGCTATTGTACCCAATGATGGCTTGATACAAATGTCTTCCAGCTTCCAAAGACTGAAAATATTTGTAGTACGTAAACTGATGAAGATACGTAAACTAAGATGATAATATCAATCTTTATAGTCAATAAAGAATAGGCAAATTCGTATCTTGTATCCAATGAACAGTCAGGCGTGTTTTCCAATGAGACTAGCTTGGAAAGAGGGCATGTCATTCATCTTACAAATGCTCCTGAAGTTCCACAAGAACTTGTCAAACTAACAGGGTAAAACACATGCAAAGCTAGTGAGGTAAATAAGGGTTTCCAGAACTTGGTAAACCTCACCCATAAACACACCAAGCTTTAAAAATGAAAGCAGCACTTGTTGCCACTGCAACGATCAGGTTGGCTTTGTGAAACTACAATTTCATTTAATTTCAACAAATTTAGAAGCTTTTGAAAATGCCATTGGCAAAAAATGGAGCAAGAGCAGTGCCAGGTACTTCAGAATGGAAGGGGAATGGAAGGGTAAGGGAAATGGGCGTGGCCCATTAGACCACACCCTTTCACCCTCTCTTTGGTTCTATAGAACAGGCTTGAAACGATCACAACTTACGCTGACACAGTGCATTTTTATTAATGTTAGAGGGATCGTGAGGCCATGTTTTGATAAAGTGCAAGGGCAATTTGATACCCCCTTGTCCCAATACTCGGTATAAAGGAGAGCATTAATAACTACCATTTGTCCTGCTACCATTCAAAAATAGGTTAGCAAACTCAGTATACTTACTCTTGATGAACATAAACCCCCATCGTAACCACCCTCTTCATCATTTCAAGATGCTCCTTCATAGCTTCTACATTGAGAATATTGCTACCGTGGTCTTTTGCCACTTGAATCATAACCTCGTGTTCACTATCAATGCCATCATCTTTCAAATATTTTTTCAAATAATTTAGTTCTTGCGATAGCCTTCCGCTTTCTGCAAGAGAACGAGGGTTTAAAATATACGGCCAGAGGAATGTGATATTAAAAAATCATAGTTCTTAATTTCAAGAAACCTTTATACAAATAACGTTCCAAATTCAAGAAAATCCTTGGATAAATCGGAGATTAGAATGAAATAAAATCATCCAAGTTTGAAAGATTTGCATATCTTTCCGGGTAATCTAATGGAACGTGTAACGTCATATTTTACGTAAACCAAGAGATGCTAGCGCTTAACAATCTGATATCTTAAAATGTGGTTTCATATACTGGCATCACGTTACACTTTAAATTTAATTACTTTATTCAAAATACATGTATTCAATTTCGTAATGGAAATTTTGAATTCAAATCTTAGAAGTACAATAAAAAAGAACAAAGAAACAATTATTAAATCAAGAAAACTTTTACTTTTAAATTTATACGAAAGTATTTATATGAAAAACAAGTAAATTTTAAAAGTTGCAAATATATTTGTTTGCACTTCCCAGGTTTTCCGCCTTACACCTGTGATTATTACTTGTAGGCGTGGCTTCTAAATCTAAATAAGGGAATGCACAGTTTGACTTCCAACTGTTTTCTCCACAAATTCAGTCCATCTATTATTCTCCCAAACGACCCTTCAGTGATATGTAACCAAAAAAAGGTATCAAAAGAAACCTTTCAAGACACTTTCAATAACTGCTTTGGCAGATTAAACCTTTTTCTTTTAAATGACATTTGCTACAGTCTTTTAAATTCCAGTCAGACCGTAAAAGGAGCTCTCTCCCTCAACTTCTTTCTATTCCTCTTTTTCTTTCCTTTTCAGTTCATTCTACCTCGTTTTGTCGATCGACTCTAGAGAGATGACATCCCAGAGAGAGACAAAAATGTCAAACTACATATTTCTCTTTTTCTTTCAGGCGACACTTTCAATGGAAAAATATAATTTCACTTTTAATTTAAAACTCGAGGGCATTATTAATCATGAAAGAAATGGGTTTTCGAGATCATCCAACTAGGGATATCGCCCTGTTGTACGTAATCCTTCTCCAAATATCCATCAATCTATACGTTGCGCTTCTTACAAACACAGGAACCATTGAATAGGCTGGAATCTCAACAAATTAATCAAGATGACGGATCTCATCCGGAGACCTAATGGATGAATACCAGTAGAATGTGTGGTCCCTGACACGACTCTTGTCATTCTGCTCGTGAACAGGGTGGTCTTTCAAGCCAAGCATGTCTGAATCACCTTATTTGCAATAGAAATTCCCAAGTAATGGCTTGGAAAGAGCGGGGAATAATGTGATTTAAAGATTTGCAATGTCAAACACATTGGATATGCCCGATTTTTAGGTCTCTCTTTTCGGATAATCCTGCCTTTCGACAAGACTCGCCTACCACGCTCAAAACAGGAGTCAGGTTTCGAGTGTTCTTGCAAAGGAGGCTGCTTTCATCTGCAACGGTTTTCGTTTCAGAAGGCAAGCGACAAGTCAACACAAACAAACAAATACCCCGGCATTAGACTTTGTGTGATAAAGACTTTTGAATTAAGCTGCCTCCTCGCCCGAGACATGCAAAGTCAATTGTACAGTTATGACGACATTTGTGCTTGGTTGATAGAGCAGGACTTCAATAGAGCAGGATAGAGAGTAGCATCAATCTATTTTTCAAAGATGCTATGATACTTATGATGTCCTAAATGCAATGATATTCAAAGCAGGAAATGTATCTTATAGCCACACTCTTTACATTGACGGGAAAGTATTTATAACTTGATACAGTAAACATCTTTTAGCCAGTATTTACAATGGCCTTATTGGTTTGTAGAGATAAAACTGGGCAGTTTCTTAATTTAGGAAACGTAAATTCTTTAACGCTTTGAGGCGGGATGCCTTATTTGCCACCGTCTAGGGGCCTGCCTCGGAAATCAGGTAGCATCACCAGCGAATTATTATGAAATTTACAGGTCTTATGAGATAAAGATTATTGAAACCTCAATACAGTGTTGCTTTGGAACCTTGGCTTGCCTTTCAAAGCAATAACATTTGAGAAAATATACAGCACCAATGATCACTTGGTTTTAGGGGCTTGTATTTGGTTTTAGAGGCGTGTATTTGGTTTTAGAGACGTGTATTTGGTTTTAGGGGCTAGTATTTGGTTTTAGGGGCTAGTATTTGGTTTTAGGGGCTAGTATTTGGTTTTAGGGGCTAGTATTTGGTTTTAGGGGCTTGTATTTGGTTTAAGGGGCTTGTATTTGGTAATTGGTCTGATTCTTGGCCGCACCCTTTTTCCTGGCAGGACTGGTGCGGACATATCCTGAACAAAAAGTATCAACTTTTGACCAGATACGACTCTTGAACACGTTATTCAAGAACTGCTTTACTGAAGTGTAAATATTTGTGGGCATTACAAAGTTATTAGACACCATTAGTTGTCACATTTTGATAGATTACATCTCTCGCTCTTTGCAAATTTTGCAGAAATGTACCTATTGCAGTTTTATTAATGATTGCTGCGAACCGGTCAATTTCATAATAATCGATACCGGGTAAACAGTATTGTGCACACATTGGTGTGTAGAACCCGGTTTCACACTCATTGCAACCGGCAGGCAAATTCGATGATCCGGTAGCTTGCAGTATCGAAACAATTTTTAGTGCATCACACCAAACCAGGCGAAGACTCTCCTGGAAACTTAACACAAGCAAGCTCTGGTTTCCGCGGAATCATTAGTGGCAGCTTACGGTGAAGCATATTTTTACTGTTAATTAAGGAACCTCCATAGAAGAAAGCTTGAACGACAAGTAAAGCAAAATTTCGAGGCTAGGCATATGTTCCCCAATGATGACAGAAAACCATTTACGGATTGCCGACTGTTCTTATTATGAAATTGTTTCATTCATATAGAATTTCATCTGGCTTTCAATTATCGACCAATCTAAAACCACGTATCAGATCCACAAACCATCTGCATGGGACAAAGATGGCGCCCTTATCGCCAGTTACAAAATTAGCAGAGTTCAGTTAGGGAATTAAAACGTACAAGGATTCGATAAAAACCTGATAACAATTTAGAAGCACACGGACACCCTAATACGCAAGGTTTATGTACGCAAATACGCATATTATTTCCCATGATTGTCATGAAAGTGGCTGGTTTGAAATAAAAACCATATAATAATTCAGTATCAGTTATCAACGCAAATCACTGTTTAACATATTCAAGTCAAATGCCTAGGAAATTCCCTTCTTTCTTGTATCTCTCGCTAAACAAGATTTGTTTTTCAAATGCGCCCTAGAGTAATTTCTGGTGTCACGTCATTCGGGCACTATACTGAAGATTAATCGTACAGGAAAGCATCCATGGAGACAAGTCCTTGAAATTCCAACAGAAAAGATAAAAATAAGTGGATACTCACGATCAACCCAGAGCTTTTCAATATCTGTTTCAATATTTGTTTGCTTCAAGCCAACACAGAGACCCAATAGAGTTGTTATACCAATCAAAAACAGTGTTAAACTTTTGCCTTGTATCCAGCACCCTAATTTGTATAGAAAATGGTTGATGTTGCCTCTGACTTTGGCCGAGATCACGTTACACTGCGAACAGGCCTGTTGAAGAAAAAACCATCAGCAATTTTGTAGAGAAAACCTTGAGTAAAGTAGATATGTTGCAATAATGTTTAGGAAAGACTTTCAAAGCCATTAATGAGCATATATTTGCGAGGGACAATTCACTCTCTCCAATAGCTTTCAAGAATTCAACAGAAACAAAAGGATTTCCAGAAATTTTCAGGCTTAAAAAGGATTTTTCAACAAACGTGTACGAAATTTTCATTTAGAGATTTGCCCCTCAATTATTTGCTAACGCCAGAGAAGTTAACGTTAGATAGTGGATATCAAAGTAACGTAACCACATCGAGGGTGCTTTGAAAAAGAGGCAAAAAGAACGTGTACTCTTATGCAAGGCGAATCAACTATAATGGTAACGAGTTTAGGGTGGAATTGAAAATGGTTTTAAACAGAGCCTGAATGCGGCAAACACGATCTTTTCCGCTAAAACCGTTTCAAGATATTCTGTCTTTACATCGAGAGCACGCATGTAATATTTTTTTGAAAAAAGCTAAAACGATGCACAGACACTTTAAACCTTGCTGCTAGTTCGTTTTAAGAGTACTAATAGGCATATTAAACCCCCTTTAAGTACATTCTTTGCTTGATAAGATGACTGTCAATTATTTCCTGGTATTAAATCTTGGTTCTATGAAAACCGGTTCCACGGATTATACCCAGCCACTGGTTTAGGAATGGCTGACTATCGACGTCACGAGGATAGCATCTAATTTTCGGCAGATCATGCATGCACGAGAAATGACTGCGGGTGTAAATACCACATTTGAATAAGAAACTTGCTTGGAAATCGCAAGGTTTCTTTCTCAAAAGCTGTTGTTTACAGTTTTATTAAAGTCGCATAAATACAATAGTAGAAGTTTGAACAAATTAGAGCCGCAAAATGTATCTGAATATATTCTTACTTTTAGGGAAAAGATTCGATCTTAGAGGATATAAGACAGCCAAGATTCCTTGCTTTATTCTATAACATTAGAGGCAAAATGAAGTGGTCACAGACATAATTAGTCAGGCCATCTGGTTTTTTTCTGGCTCTTTTTACGTACATATAAATGGGAGTAAACCGATAACGGGATACTTTCCACTAACGGACACCTTCCACTAACAGGCGCCTCCCCCCCCCCCCACCAAAAGAAAAAATGCCATGAGAAGCGAATATCTTCGAGTAACGGAACACCTCCCAGGTACAGGCACCTTCAGATAAGGGGCATCTTCAAATAAGGGGCACCTCTTAATATCTGACCCCCAAAAAACATGCCAGAAGAACTAAAATCTGACTCCCAAAGAACATGCCACATTTCATTACGAATAAAACTGCATGAAACTTTATCTCAGTTCGGCCTTCTGTTCTACCTTCTTTCAAACAGTATAAGCCATAAGCGAGATGTAGGGGTTTTCCAAAAGTTACAGTCAAACTACACTCATTTCTTTTTATAAAAAACTGGCTATAAGAAACGAGTACTGGACAGTCAGAAAAAATTAAAAAACTTCAGTACTCGAAGCAAAAAAATTAAGAAACTATTAAATCGTGCTGAAAACTGAGAACGACGAAATTTTGTAAAATCCAAGAACATTATTGCCCTATTGGCCTAGACCTTAAGACACAAGTGGTAAAAATATACTCCCCGCATCTAAATACAGCATCAGAACGGAAGCGAATCTCTTGACGTGATAAGAAAAGGTCATGAACATTTCATAACATCATTCATGACATCATAATTAATAAACTCTTAAGAAACAATGCGTATTGAAATTGTCAGAGCATTAAGAAACTGGAGTACTCAACATCGACCTTTGTTTCTTATAAAAAGATAAATGGGTTTGCCGAAAAAATAGTTTTTGGTGAACGTTACTTGCTTATTCGCCAAACACGGTAAAATTCCTTAAAACTTTTCGTTATGTGTCGTTATAAGATCGATATCGTGAGAAATAACATAATAAAAACTTTCAAGTAGAAGTATTTTCTGGTTCTTAATCCGAATCTGGGGTCAAAAATTTTGTACAAAAGCATTTGAAGAATTTTCAAAATGAAGATGTAAGTAGAATTGCTGTGTGGCAAATCCGTAAAGACATATGTCTCTAGACATGACACATATTTTTTGTTGAAGAATGACAACGAAGTACTCCCCAGTCCAATTTAACGGTGCAACACAGAAACTGATGTTTTTAAGGGGGCATTTATATAAAACAAAATATATTCACTGTAACTATAAAACAATTTTTAAGATTTCTCAGAAATATTATTTTACATTATTATTGAACTTGGGGTGCCAAGAGGGTGAAGTGAGCTGAAAAGTTTCAATTTTCTCTTCAGTAACAACAATAAATTTAATGGCAACTTCACAGGGAAATAACCTGGCCTCTCACACTTTACTAATCAACGCGCGAATTTACAAACGAAGAAAATCCTCAGTAAAAACCCAGTAATCAAAGGAAAGTAAAGGTCGGATAGGTTAAGTTGTTCACTCTGTTTAGGCCGCAATCGCAGTGAAGACCTTTGTCTTCCTCAAACATGCTCATCTAAAGTTCTCTAGTTACAGGAGGTTGATATTGCCGGTGCTTCGATGAAACGCTTCGTTGTGTTCAAGCAGAACAGATAATTTGGTATTTTAACAACAAAGGCAAAGTGTAAACATTTAAACAAGTAGAGATTCTTGTAAATATTGGCAAAAGCCTTCTATCAAAGACTTGACTGCGAGAGATTTCGTTATTAAGTTCTCAAGAGTGGTTCACGCAAAGCAGCTGTGCATGAGGTCATCGACAAAGGCCACCCAAAACGCACACGAAAGATCAAACGAACTCTGATACAACAGTGTCAAATCTTGCCCACATTGTTGACAGTTGTTTTATTCCCAAAGAACTTATTCAGTTAAAATTCCGTTTCGGGATGATTTAGCTCTAACTCAGTGACGAAGGTGAAAAAAGGGAATCATGTAGTAAGTAGAGAAAACAGTTTTTGGTAGCTTCGTCGATGGCTTTTGAGTTAAAAGAGGCGGCAAGGAAGCAAAATAAAAATTCTGAATAAATTCCGATGACGAGCTGACACGTGATCTCCTACAACCAAAAAGCTAGCAAAATGTACGCAATCAATTAAACAAAGGGGTAAGGAATCATTTTCATGCAGTTCAAACCAGGCTCGTGGACTTGAGGGGAGGGGGCAGGGAGCGATGTGCTCCAAAATATTTTGACACCAAAGTTCGCGCCATGCAGTTTTCTAGAATGTATTCCTAATAATACATGTATGTGCAACCCCCAATAAATTGCTTTTATGACCCCTCTTCCAATACTGTATTCGAATTAAATTTAAAAAATGGAAAGAGTTGCGTAGCACCGACAGAGGAGTTAATGAGAGGAGTTATTCAAGTGATGAAATTGTAAACAGGTATGAAAGCGGGGTTGAAATTTGAGACAGCTGAAGAAATACAGAAAGAAGCACGGCGTTCAACGAAGTTGCGCCAAAAATAATCTTAACAATGTACAGTTAGCCGAATTAACGTTATTTTTGTGACCCAACACGTACTTAAAAGTTAGAAGTAGATAGCTTATAGTGAATTTTGCTAAGAAACATGGTTTGACTCGTTGTTTTTAATACAATGGATAGAAAACTGTTCCCAACAATGGATAGAAGACCGAAAAACTAAATCCCTGGCATATGGCCTAAATTTCAAGGGGCAAGATTAAAGGAACGGCACTCTGTGACGCTTTTTGGCTCTTAGTAGCCCTTGGTGCTCAAGACTTAGCGAAAGATCTGGTGATTTAGCGGTTTCCTTAAAAGATTGTGCCATAAATGAAGGATACCCATTTGAGTCTCTACTTTGAGGAAAGAAACGACAACACTTTTTGTTGCCCATATTCAGCCGCTTTCTAAAGATACCGCCAGTTTCCGTAAAACAAGTCTTTTAGCTAGAATGACATCATTGTCACTCGTGCTCGAAAGATGAAGAAAATACCAAGTTCGAATTTTTTCTTACACAAGATCGAGAGAGCGTGTCCATGACCCCAGCAATCTAAAAACATTGTTTTCCGATTTGTATTCGCAACCAAGAATAAAATTCATCATCAGGCTATCAAGACAAATTCACATTAAGATAACAACTTTTTATTCATTAAATTACCTGCCATGTCATTGATAAACTAAAATTGTAACAGAATGCAGATAAACACGTGAAGAAGAAAAAGGAAGATTGAAAGAGGGGGAGTTAATGTTGAAATTGCAGGAACTAATTGGCAATAGTTATTGGTGGAATCGAGCTCAATAGACCAAACTGTTTGATTTTCTATATTTTACCTGCATTTAGCTATTCGATTCTGTAACTCTAGTGCAACAACGCTCTTCTACGAAAAGTTGAAAGTGGGCGTTGGCGACTTTTGTGCCTCACCCATACCTCCGGTGCACCTAAGTTAATAAAGCCTTCACAAATCTATCGTTCTCTAACATGTATATCAATGTTTAAATTCATTCTACGAAGTAAGGATTCAACGAAGTTTCCATTCGCCAAAGTATGGAGAACTTGCGGTCCTTGTGGAACATCTTCCGTGCACATTTTTAACAAACAATGGATCTTTGCATGAAGCAAAGGTGGGTTAGCATTCCATATGCCTGTCGTCAAGGATTAGAAATCTGGAGACACGAATTGCGATTTTTCTTCAAAGATTGCTACAATGGCCCTTATATACTTCAAAGCGTGGAGATGAACCCCATCGAATCAATAATTGTAGCATGGATTTTGCCCAAGACGGAATCCGTTCGGAAAAGGAAAGGGTGGGGTATAATTCACCTTTCTCAAATCACTGTCTTCGATTTTGCTTCCCCTGAAATACTAATTAAATGTTAACGCTAGATGCATTTCCGGCATGTTTCATTTCGATTCTTTAATAGAATAAAAGTGATTTTGGCCGAAGTTGCTGTATTGGTAAAAGTACAGCTTCACCCTGACGGCAAACGTCACCTGCACATCAAACTTTGACAGAGAGCCAAGGACCCCCAACTGGAAGAACAAATAAACTCTAATGGCGACCAAAGAACACAATGCTAACCCCGTTTTACAGCTAAAATACCCAAGGCCATATTTTCGTTTATTCGTATGGTGTGCAAAATTCAGGGGCCAAGGTAAAGTTTCATTTTCAACTACATCCTATTTCAAACTAGCCACAGAAGTTTCCAATGTCCCGTCATATTGTGTGCATACACTGCCTCGGCATGCCTGCAGAGGGAACTCAACTCCACACTTCCTGCCTGGCAACAAAACCACGCGACCGATAATTTCGAAAATGCACATTCTTTAGTAATATAATAGGCTTGGTTTTATCCTTACTGACATATTAGATAACTAGAAAGAAAATTCATCGCTAAGTTAGTCGTTCATTGACTCCCAGCTCTTGGATTCCTCAAAATATCACGAAAACAATGCCAAGCAATGCGAAGGAAAATACCTTTAGTGACCTGTATTTACATAGCGACTGAGTGCGTAATATTTTCGCCCAACCGAACACAATTTAGTCCGTTCACCAAGGCCACTGAAACTTTCGAAGTTATTTCACACAGCCTATGACCGCTGAATGTTTTTCGTTAGCTAAAACGCGGAGGTTCGGTCAGACGAATGCTAACACGGATTGCAAATGCTTGGTGACATTCCCCTTTGTTTTATGACAACTGAACTCGTGTCATTACTGATTACCTCGCTAAGTTTTAACCTTACAAGTGTTGGTCCGCTACAAAGATTTCCTAATTCCAAGAAGTAACATCAAATCCAATTACCTGTAAAATGCTGTAATTCTTTCTGTCACTATTCGATTCATGTGGTTCCATATTTTGTTCTTCATCAAACTTCGTTCGCGATCTGTCAGTGTGTTCCAGTGAAATTTGAAACCGCAGCGAGTCTGTCTCTACCGTATGTACGGCTAGATGGGGGTCACACTTTCTTTCATGCGTTCAAACAATCGTAACACCTCTTATTCAATCGATATTTGAACTCGAGCAAATCGAAGCAGAATATTTTACGTGAACTCGTTTGAAGGCTTCACCCCACAATTTCTGTGTGCTTTCAACAGATGAAGAAGCTGTGTGTTGACAAGTACACAGAGATGAGATTGAGGAAACCCGATGAAACCACTTTTCGCAAACCAGCGGAAGATGGATTGGCCAGAAATGACGCCTTGTGATTGGCCTTTTCGTGCTGTGCTTTAATTAGAAGGAATGGTGTTCTATGTTGTGGTCAAGACCAATATGTAAAGTGCAGACCACACACAAATCACTTTGAGCGACAAGGCCATGCGTTTACGGGCCAGTGTTCTGTCAAAGCAACGAGCAAATACCAGGTTCTCTGGTTTGATTTGTGATTAGGAACATCCAACTAAGCGTAGCTTGGTAAACTGATACCAAATTCAGCTTCTTTATGCTCTCTCTATATGCAAATGCACTTTCGAGGAGTGCCTAATGCTAAGTGGCAGAGATCTTTTCGTTTGCCAATTGAGACTAGAAGATCTAAGAAGATAGCCGAACCTTTAAAAGTATACACGCTTTTACCATTATTAGAAACATCAGGCTGAGATTTGACCAAAAAATAACAACATAAAAACAAAGAAGGCTGAGATTCAACAAACTCAAAAAATGAAATACCAACAAAATTAATCAATGAAAGAATACACTTGTTTTCTATATGAACAAGAAAATTTAAGTTCAGGTTCTTAATCTGTTCTTAATTTTTTTGAAAATCTGAGGCTGGAATGTTCTTCATTTGTTCTTAAATTACTAGGGTGTTAGTAGTGTGATTGCTACCTTTTTCGCTCTAGGCAAATTTTCAGGCCTCATTTGCCAACAATGTGAGTGAGACAACCTTGATTTGTTGACAGATTCAAATTTTCACCGAAAAAGCACCCACACATGGCAAAATATCCTCGTTTTGAGGTATAAAGTTGTTCAAAATTGCATTTTACAGTAGCTCAGCCTCAGCTTGTTCTGAATTTGTTCTTAACTTTTGACCAGAATCCCGGGCAGAAACTCTAATTACTTTATTAAGCACGTGCTATGTCCAGACACTACTATGCACATCAAATTCGAATACAAAAATAAGAAACAAATAGGAAATACGTGAGGCTGAAAGTATGCGAAAAAGAAGAAACGCCAATTTGAATTTGGAGCCTAATTTTCGTAGAAAAATTCGTATAACTAAAATACAGCTTTTTAGATGTTTCCTTGAGATCTTTAAAAGACTTGATAAATTTTATTACAAATGTGCGTATGTTATATTTTTCTGCGTGTGGAAAATATGTTTCAAATTGTTTGCACCATCAGTTTTTCTCTACATTTATCTTCTTTTCAAAAACATCAATTTTTCATAAGAAAATTTCAATACTCGACATCGACAAATTTCAATACCCAGTGTTTCTAAAGTGCTTCTTAGCTTTTAGTCACTATTTTGAAATTAAGAATAATTTTAACGCTTGACATTTTATCATATAATTTACATCACAGATTTGCTTGGCAGCCAATCACATTGGTGGATATTCACTAATTTCCAGAGTTCCGTGTTTTCTCGAATATTTCTTAAATTTTTTTCAGTACTGAAATTTCTAAAGTTTTTCTGAGAGTCCAATATTCGTTTCATATAACGAGTTCTTTATATAAAAAAATTAGTATAAATTTCATCTTTTATCTGCAGGGTTTTTTAAGCACAATCATGGAGGCTTCTGGGACTGAATAATTTGTCACAAAATGTATTTAATAAATCTCAAACAGAACGGGCAAGGCATTCGCTGTTTTTGTAAATGTCATTTTTTACTTTTTAAAAGAGGTTATGTAAGTAGTTTTTATGCTGGAAAAATACTTTTTCAGAATTTGAAAAAGAAAACAAGAGCTTTATAAAGTTGAATGTGAAGAATTTGTGAGACATTCATTTTCCGAGTCTAAAGATTTTTGGCAACATGTCTATGGCTCAGCACTGAAAACTCCATAAAAACTGACGCCAAAATTTGAGTACCAAAATTCCTTAGCAATTCATTAACATGTTTTTTATTGAAATAAAACTAGGAACTATTTGAAATGAGGTCAGGAAGATGTCAGAAGACAAGTTAAGATAAATAATTGGCAAAATTCATGATAAGTATTGTTTGCACTGCTTGTACTTGCAAGTATCAACTTAACGAAACTTTATCTTCTCAATGGAAATTTTTAATGCACGCAGTTGCGTCCCTTGACCTTTCAGACTTGGGGGATGGAGGGTCATCAATAGAAAAATTTACCGACGAAGATATAGTTGGAGAAGAATTTAGGTGCTATTTCACCTACTGATTTATGATTTTACCGTTAAACTAAGGATTTTGTAGACAAGCTGAAGGTTTACCCAGGAATTCATGAAGTATTGGGGGAGGGTGTTACCCCCCCCCTACACCCCCGCTAGCTACGCCCCTAAATGTACGTCCACTGTTTAGTGTTGTGAGATAATCCATTTTACTAAAGTTGATGTATGCCAGTTTTTCATATTCCTCAGCAGTCTCTTATCCACGATTAAAAATTCCTGAAGTTTTAACCTGGGCGGGACTATCCTTCCTTAAAAAATACTTCCTTATGAAAAGATGCGTGTATTCTTCCGTTGAAGTGAGGGAAAATTCTGACAGAATACTTCATATGAAGAAAGTGAAGTTAATGATTCCATTATGACATCATCACATCATCATCATAAATGACCAGGCATCTTCAAAGTTTTAATTCTTCAGTTTGTCTTTCGAAGTACAAAATAATCACTTTTTCTTGCCACTCTTTGTCGAAATCGACGCAAGTTTGAAAATTGGGTATTTAATTCGTGTAGCTTTTTAGATGAAATTGGTGATGCTGTTGTTGTTGAACCCTATAAGCAGATGCATATGAAGACAACAAAGTATTGTGAGTTCAAAATTCTAATATATCAGGTGTGTCTTTAACTAGCAATGATGCTTCGCCAATTAAAAAAGGTATTTTTGCTAATGAATGTACACAAATGTCCTATATGACTTTTCTTTTAGTAGACAGATCAATATAGCGTCCGCTTTATTAGCTTAAATGTTTAAATTTTTACTCTTTTATACAGGGCCCCCGAAAGGGGGGCCAGGGAGGCAAATTGCCCCAGAGCTTCGAGGACTAAGTGGCCTCATAAGGTAACGGATTTCATTTTAGGAAATGATTTCATTAAAGGTTGCAAAAGTTTGCCTAAAGTAGTATAACGTTTACAAGGATTGCAAGAAATGACTATAAGAAATATTTTGAAATGCATTTTAAGTTAATCTTAAGGGCGTGGTCGCGATACTTTTCTGCTCGCTCCACTCGCAAAGGATCTCATCTTTCGGTTTTGCCCCAGGGCCTTCAAAAGTTCTCCGTGGCCCTGCTTATATATACAGTTTCAAACTTAATCAACTTCTGCTATTGTGCTCTTCTAATTTCGCTCACTTGATATGCACTTGTACTGAGAATCTACTAAAATGGCTATTGGCATCTGTAACAAAATTTTCGAACTACTTTAGAAATATTATTGAAAATATGGTTGTCTGTGTTGTTGGTGGCTTCAAGCAAAAGTTTTCTATCACAGGTTTAGAGACCAAAGACCATGTCTTCAATCAGGACGGCTAAACCATTTCGAATTCGAGGGGGACAGGTAAGAAATGGATATATGCCTCTGAAAAGGGGCCATTTCCAAATGACAAATGCCTTCTTATGCCCCCCCTTCAGTTCTGACGTCTCTGCCTGCTAATTAAAGCGAGTGACTTTCAAAATTAGTTCCAATTTTAGACAATGTTTTTGGTGAAGTGTTGGTCTTATTGAACATCTCAGTAAACTTTCTTTGCAAAACTTTCCTACACCCAGCAGTTTGCTTTGAGAGGGGGGGGGACATACTTTGGGAGTTTGAGGCCCTTTCTTTAGCGAGCATAATATTTGTGAAATCTTTGGTAATTTGAGTGAAGTTTCAAATGTTGAAATTGAAAGAATCACATACGCTGAAAAATCGAAATTTGTTGACGTTTTAGCAATATATTATTTCTGATTTTTAGGCAATTAAGAAAAGGGACCCTGCATCTTTATTTCCGAGTGCAAAGGCCAAAAAGGGTGAACATTACCTTTTCCAATTACTTTCAATATGGTTTGTACAGTTCTATATATCCTGAGAGATGTTGAATGCTAGTTGTTAGAAATTTGTCCCAAAAGTAAAAAGTTTAGCAGTTATCATTTTACGGCTGCTTTCTAAGATTCATTTTTTAAGAAAAATATTATATTCAATTTTTATTTTGAGTTTTTTTATATAAGTATTTTGTAGTTTGCACTCCAAACGATAGCAAAAATGAATTTTGTTCAGTCCTTTGTTAATAACCAACTGAAAATTGATTTTATTGCATATTCTTAGAATTATGAGAATGCACCGTCCGCACCCTTTGAATGCTGGCAACAGAGGCCACTTAGGGCATTAAGAAGCGATTGAATCACCAGATGGTTGCTTTCGAGGAGAATTCCCATCACGGTAATTTTATGGGATCAATGAGCCTCTCAGTGGCTTGACCCTGATAAAAACGAGGTCAAGATATTCAGTTGATTACTAGCCTCCCATGAAGCCGTCCTTTTATTGCAACAAACAGAGTAATGTGAGAAGTCTAGGGAATATTTATATTCAGTTTCTAAGGCTTTTTGGAATGTTTGGCTATGTCTAACATCCACCATTCTCGCTATTATACAGACTCGAAGATTCCCTTCTCAGCAGTCTACACACCACCGCTTATGAAAGCAAGCGAATATCTAGGGATGTGAAAAAAACGTGAATATAAAATTGAATGTAGGTATAGCAACTACAAGTACAGCAATATAGGCCAATATAGCATTTCGCCACCAGATTTATAGTAAACCGGCAGCATATTTGTCAGACTTTGGCAAACAGTGAAACCAAACAGTCTCGCACTCTAGAAATCTTTAAGGGTCGCATCAAAAAATGGACTACAGATAAATGCAACTGCAAGCTTTGCAAAACGTTTATAGCAAACCTTGGCTATATCTAGTTAGCATTGAATCATTTGTGTGATAAAATATTTGAATTATTTATTTATAAAATATAATAAATATTTTTAGATTTTAGAGTTTATTTGATAGGCTCTTTCTGTATAAAGTTGGCTTTAATTAGCACTGCTGCTATTATAGTCGCCAACTTAGAATAATTTGTATTATTATTATTATTTTTATTATTATTTTTATTATTATTACATTGCCATCCGTACTACGTACTACATATTTTGTTGCAAAAAGAAGCCATGGACAAATCCGGAATTGCAT